AGCAGGAATTGCATTGGGGTCACCAGGATATATACAAGCTGGTAAATATTCCTGAGGCAGAGCATAAGCTTCTCTGCAAAACTGAGTATCCTCCATATTGCAATTTATTTCCTCATGACCCAGCAAACTAAGCCACTCCTTTCCCAGCTACCTGCTTCTGCAGAACTGAAAAGATTTTTGTCTGATCTAGCCTTCATACCACGTTTTACTTCTTCTCATCCCTACACCTACTTATTTCTGAGGAATCCTCCTTTTTGATAGTGCTTTGCATTGCCTTCCCAATTCCCCTCTGCCTGCTGGCATCTACCAGCTGTTACCGTATCCCAAGGAGACTCCAGGACGAGCTTAAGTCTCTTGGCAAGAACCTCTTACTCACTTCTGCTTCTCTGCCTTGTATTGCTGTGTGCAGTCATCAAAAAGCTTTTGGTTCATCTCCATGAACAGCTTCAGTGCATTGTAGATCAGCCCATGGATTGTCCTGGAAAGAGATCAGGAGGGCAGAACAAGTCACAGTGGTATCTGCCAGGTTCTCAGCCCTCAGATAGCCCCAGCAGCACATACAAGAGCTAGCAGCAGCAACTTGTATACTACAGCAATGTGATCAAAGACTTTCACAGTTTTTAGTATGGGAACATCCCTCCACAAACCCAGGACCTTCGATGATAGCACAGGGAGGAAAAGATGGGGGAGAGAGAGAAAACCACTGGTATGGCTCTCTTTGCACTCCTTACGGCTGCAGTCAGAAAACAGACATTCACACTGTTGTTTCTTGTGGTCAGAGATTGGAGAGGAAGGACACTAGGGACCTGCTCAGGACCATTTTGAAGAGGGTTTTATCTTATCTAACTTTAGTGCACCACACTGTTCATCTTGCGATACATGACGGCTTTGTTGGGCTGCCCAACACTGTTCACCTGTGAGCTCTGTCAACAAGTTGTCCAGAACACGGGTACTCAATAGCCATGTAGAAATGGGAATAAGCACAAGGAGCACCTCAAAAAAAAAGCCACCTTCACATCACCAATCCCTGGAGAAGGAGAGAAGGAAAAAGAGTGCAGCGCAGGGAGAGAGCAGACGAGAGAGTAGGGCAGGGAGAGAGAGCGGGAGAGACTAGAGGAGGGAGAGAAAGTGAGAGCATAAGAGCAAGCGAGAAAGAGTGCAAGAGTGCACAAGTGACAGCGAATGAGAGAAAGAGAAAGAACTAGAGAGTGAGTGAGAAAGAGCAAGAGAGCAAGAGAATAAGAACGTATATGAGAGGGCGTGAGAGAAAGGGAGAACAAGTGAGTGAAAAAGGGGGGAAGAAAAAAGAGCAGGGGAGGGAGGGAGAGAGTACATGTGGGGGGGGGAAGAGCAAGAAGGAGAGAGGCAGAAAGAGAGCAAAAGCAAGCGAGGGGGAGATAACTTGTGAGACAGCATGAGTGAAAGAGAGCAAGTAGAGAGTGAAAGAGCATGAGAAAGAACGCGGAAGAGGAGATGAAAAAGGGAGAGTGTACACACACAGGGGAGAGAAAGAAAAAGAGCGAGGGCAAGAGAGAAAGATCAGGGGAGATGGACAGCAAGAGAAAGCCAGAGCGCCTGTGTGACCAAGAAAGAGAGCGAGAAAGGGAAGGAGAGGGAGAACGCCACAGAGAGTGAAAGACCAGGCAAGCCAAAGATCCCAGTGAGAGAGCGCCCGAGAGTGAGCGAGTGCACGGGCGAGAGGAAAAGCACACGCAGGAATCTTGTGAGGGAGAGAAAGAGAGCAGGGAAGAGAGAGAGAGAGAGCACAACAGAGCATGTGACAGAGCACGTGCAAGCAAATGCAAAGGAGAGAGAAAAAGACAGTGAGGGAGAGAGAGACAGCACCAGAAAGGAGTGAGAAAGAGAACAAGCAAGTGCTAGAAAGAGCGAGAGAAAGCACACACAAGAGAGCACACGCGAGGAAACGAGAGCCAGAGCAAGCAAAGAAAAGAGCACGTGAGATGCGAGCAAGAGACAACATGGGGAGAGCAAGAGAGTGTGCGAGCAAGAAAATGAGGGGGCAAGATAAAGCGTGGGAAAGGAGCAGGGGAGCGAGAGCGGGGGAGAGCAGGGAACAAGGAACACAGAAGGTGCAGAGCAGGGGAGCAAGAGCACGTGAGCTGCAGTGAAAGAGGAGGAGAGCAAAGGAGAGCAGGGAGAGCATGAGCGAGTAGGAAGGGAACAGGGGAGCGAGCACGAGAGCAGGCGGGGAGAGCGAGGGAGGGAGGAGCAGAGCAGGGGCACAGGGAGTACGAGTGGGACAGAGCAGGGCAGCAGGAGAGCGGTAGAGGAAGCAACAGTGAGCGGAAGGGGGAGCGAGCAAAGAAAAGCACGTGGATGGCGGAGAGTGAGTGAGCAAAAAAAGAGAGCATGGGAGAGTGAGCCCACACACAAAAGAGCAAGCCCAAGAGAGCAAGTGAGAAAGAGAGCAGAGGCAGAGCAAGCAACCAGGGGAGAACGAGCAAGCAAAAAAGAGAGCAGGGGAGAAAGAGCCCATGCGCAGAAAAACAAGCCCGGGAGAGCAAGCAAGTGAGCAAGCTAAAAAAGAGCAGAGGAAGAGAGAGCAAGCAAAAAAAGAGAACAGAGGCAAAGCTAGCGAGCAAAAAGAGAGCTGAGGAAGAGTGAGCATATGAGAGAAAGCAAGCAGGAGAAAGTGAGTGAGAAAGAACAAGCAGGGGAAAGCAAGCAAGCAAGCAGAAAAGAGAAGGGGGAGAGAGAGCTCACGCGCAGAAGAACTAGCCCAGGAAAGCAAGGGAGCAAAAAAGAGAGTTTGGGGGAGGGCGGACAGAGACAGAGAGAGCACGCCAGCAAAAGAGAGGGAGTAGAGGGGCGCGAGCCCACTCGCAAAAGAGCGAGTCTGCAAGCGAAAGAGTGCGAGTGGGGGGAGTGAGCCCATGGCCAAAAGAGAGCAAGCGAAAAAGAATGGGGGAAAGCAATTGGAAAGGAGTGGGGGATAAAAGAGAGCCCAGAAGACCGCATCCACACGCAAATGAGAGCGCGAGAAACAGATCAAACAGAGCGAGCGCAGGCGCGAAAGGGAGCAGCGGGGAGAGCGAGCGTGCGTGCGTGCGCGGAGAGCGTGAGAGGAGAGAGCAGGCAAGCAAAAGCAGGCGGGACAGAGCGCACAAAGGAGAGCGGGGAGAGCGTGCGTGCGTGCCAACGGGAGCGCAGGGAGGGCAGGGGAGAGCGCATGAGCGCAAAAGCTGAGCACAGGGGAGAGCGAGTGCCCACCAGAAAGCACGTGGGAGAGCGCGCAGGGAAGCGCATGCGCAAAAGGGGGTGTGAGGGGGCGCGAAAGGGGGCAGGGCAGAGGGTGAGCGAGAGAAAGAGCAGGGGGAGAGCATGCAAGCGCAAAAGCGCGCAGCGGGGAGCGCAAGCGCACAGGCACGTAGGGGAGAGCAAGCGCGCGGTGGGGGGAGCATAAGCAAACGCCAAGGAGAGCGGAGGGGGAGAACAAGCCAAAAAAAAAAAGAGCCGGCAGAGAGCGCGCAGGCCCAAAAACCCATGGCGGGGAGAGCAAACACACACATGGAAGAGCTGGGGGGACAGCAGGCGGGGAAGAGAGCAGGATGGGAAACACGCGCAAGAGAGAGTGGGCAGAGAGCGCACAGGCACAAAAGCGCACGGGGGAGAGCAAGCACGTGCGTGCACGGGGAGAGTGCTCACGCGAAAGCGCGCGCGGGGAACGTGCGCAAAGGAGCAAGAGGTGGGGAGCAAGGCAGACAGCAAGTGAGAGAAAAAGAGAGCAGGGGAGAGCGGGAGACAGAACGGGGGAGCGAGAGAGCAAAAGCCACGAAAGAGCTGAGGAGCAAGAGGGAGCGCAGGCGACAGAGCACGGGCTCTGCTTTGGAGAGGTTAATACGTTCCCCCCGCTCTTCAGAGCGTCCTCGACGGGTGCCTCAAGTTTGTGCTTCCTGATACACTGAAGGGAAGGAAGCACTGAGATAGCAGACCAGTGGGGAGCCGTCTGCAAACAAGTTTCACTCCACAACCCGGCCTTTGCTGCCACAATACCCTCCCAGGCCCTGCCCTAGCCTGGTCTCCCTAGATATACTTATTTTGCCTTTTTTTCAATCCTCTACAATACAGGGTGCGGGGGGTGTCTTCCTGTATTTTTGCTAGAAGACTTTAGGATCTCAGCTGCGGGCTGCTTATTTCTAGCTCATTCATTACAAGGAAGGGAGCTTTACAACTTTAATTAAACAGGTAAGGAATCAACTGAACAAGCAGTCAGAAGGAAGCCTAGCAGGGAGCTGACGGGAGAACCAGACAACAGACTGATACGGAGGGAGCAGACAGAGGAGGCAGTTTGGCATGGGACGTCTGCCCAACCGGTTCTGCTTTCTCTGTACTTCCTGCACCTGAGCGCAGCCAAGCACTGCATTAGCCAAGGTCCCTGCTCACAGAGAACATGTGGGTGACTATTAATTTGTGAGCAGCCAGAAAGCCACGTGAGAACCTACAACATACCTCAAGAGACCTGCAGCACTAGAGATATCAAACTCTGCGTAGATTCAATAGCCCCAAAGGGGCATCCGCATCAGCTGCCCACCAAGGTGCTTGCAGACGCAGGCCACTATGGTCTGCTGTTGCTCTCCCCCGCATTGGTACTCATCACATCCCCTCTGGCTCTGCACCAAGCATTGCCTGTAGCAGTATGCCCCAAGAGCACCAGTGGGCCAAGCAATCCTGCATGCACAACAAGTTACAGGCTGTGCAGAAAGACCTACTTGTTCCAATGACTCTTGGAGTTCTTGTAGAGCGCTGGAAACATGATCGGCAGAATTTTGGCTGCGTTATCACTGATCAGGCTCATGATATATTCGTTGTTCCAATAGTACAGTGCTCGCTCTGCCACCTGCAGTGGAAGGGAAACACATCGTTGGAGAAGCTTCTTCCAGGAATTTTCGTGGGGTGCACCCAGAAATTTTGCACAGCACTGAGGGTAGAGCCTGCTGCCACCTAGCTAACCAGCATCAGCTTCCCTGCAATTCAGGCAGCAGGGCTGATCTTACCTTTGGCACAGCCATTCGTTCCCTCTGCCTAGACTTTTTTCCCTTGGCCTTTGCCAAACATGTCTCACCTTCCTGGGGAAACGTCATGTTCTTGACCAGGCAAGTCTAACATCGATACACTGATGGTTCCAACACCACTTGCACAACACTTGAGCACAGTACTGTCATCCACTTCAGATCATACTAGAGATTACCTCCAAGCCTCCTTCGTTTCCTCAGACTGGCCTCTGTAGAGCGCCACCTGGCCTCCTCCACAACACACTGTCTCCCTGAGCTTTGGAGCATACTTCCATCATCAGGACCACATTCCAACCACCTTCTTCAGCCAGGGTAAAAATACAGAAAACCTGGGGGGCCGCCACCTCCTTTCTTTAACAAGTCAAACAAGTTTCCACATAGTGATAGATTTCACCACAATTCCTCCCGTTTAACCAGAAATTTGAGTCATGCAGATCACCAAACCGGTGGGTACATTTCTGCATTTAGCCTTAGCTTGAGGACGACTTAACAAAAACCTAGGAAGAGAGACATCTAGTCCCAGTTTTATATTTCAGTCGATGGAGGACTCACTGCATCCCCTCAACATATCGTTCCACATGAGTAAACCAAGTGAAACTCATCTCCTGTTCAAGCTTATCTAGCTTTGGTTTCCAGCTATTAGATCTTGTTAAGCCTCTATCTGCTAGATTAACAGGCAATCAACTCACCGAAACCTCTCATCCACCAAGGCACTCTTAGGAACTGACTTCTTGGTAAGCCTATTTTTGCTCTCTGTCAAGCTGCAGAGACTGAGACTGCTCAGGCTCATTGTATGGGAAGCCTTTGGGGTTTGTGCCCAGGTTTTTAGTCTTGTTTTGAAAGAGCTGGCAGCAGAAAAAGACTGCTATGAGGTACAAGATTTCTCTCCTCTAGCCTTTGCTCTTTTCCATTCCAGGTCCCTAGTTTCCTACTATAATTGGCCCTTTGGTTCCCAGCACCACACTGGGAATCTATGTCTAGCTGGTTTCTAGCTCCTCAAGTCCTTTCCAGGGTCACTTTTTCCTGGAAACAGTGATCTTTCTCAAAATGAGCGACCTAATTTTTGGCTTCTGAACAAATGACCGTGCACCTTTCTGTATCAAAAGACACATGCGAAGCCAGTCTGCCTCACTGTGCAGCCAAGCTCACTCGAGGGAAGGGATATGTCACTATTTAATACCCCACCCATTCCTGGGTCAGCCACGTGCTTCACCAGCAAACTGTGTATCTTCTTCCAGGACATTCTTCATGTCAACCCAAAGCAGTGGGCCAAGACCACCACCTAGGACCTGCTAGCAGGTCCTACCACCCTGGCAACTTTAAACCCTGAGACTACCAGCCACAGAGATTTTTTTTTAGCCTGGCACTACAGAGTTATCTTCCTTTCAGTGGAAGCAAGGAAGCAAGAAGCAGTTTCTAATGTTTTCACTATACCTCACTCAGTTTCACCTACAGCAGATTAATGCAAAGCACCTTCTCTGCTTTTAATTCCAGTTTCTCTTTGGCTGGCCTCACTCCAATATTGCAGCCAGCTTGGTTTTACTTCAACATGGTGATGCTGGATAGATCTCCTCTATACTGCATCTGCCAGCCAAAACAGGAGGTGGCACAGCATCTCTTCTCCAGCTCCAGGCTGCTGCAGTACATGGTGCCAAAGAGCACAGTGCAGCAGGAGGGAGTCCACTCAAAGCTCAAAATCAGCCTAGTTTTCACTTTGGATGAGCTTGTTATATGGTGGGGGAGTCTCACCGTCTCCCACCACATCATGCCTAGTACTCACACCCTGGTCACACCTCCACATGCCACTGACCCACAAAGACAAGCTCAAGAAAGGTAGTCTCACCTCACATGCCAAGTGGGGTGCCAGTCAGTGCCCTGCCCCCTCCTTGAGCTGGGACCCACCTGGAAGTGTGGACTGGAGACGCACTTGGCCAACTGCCTGAACAAGGGCTCCATGACTTTCACAAACTCGGAGGGCTCAATCACATCCAGGATCTCCTCCAGCTCATTCAAAAACATCACCTCCTTGGGACTGTGCGTCTTCGGCCAGAACTTCAGCAAGCCCACAATCACCTGAGTGCGAGGGGTACAGATACAACGTTAGAGGCTTGAAGTTAACACCAGCTGTGAAATAAGATTTTAAAGGTTTGGTTACAACAGCAGAGGAGAGGAAGTAACAGATGTAAAGAGAACGTTCTCAGAATGCCAGCATAGGTTCCCAGGGAAGAAAGCGGAAAAGAGCAAAGACACTGCCAAGTTACGCGTAAGACAGCAGCACAGCCCAGGCTACAACGGTTCTGACAACCTGCTGCAACCACAAAGCCTAGAAGCAATTTCTTCCAAACATAGCCAAACAAGGAAGGTTCCCAAGCCAAAGTGGCCAGAAGCTGACAGACAGTGCAGAGTAGCAATCAGTCAAGCTTGGGGAAGATCGACCAACAAAAATCAGATACTGTATGGGGAGGGTGACTAGGGAATCATTTTCCAATCTACCTCAGAACTTAAATACTGGGGAGCACCCAATAAATAATGCAGTGGTGACAGGTTCATGACGAGCAAAAGGAAATAACATTTCATACAAAGGTAACTGGATTATGGAACTCATTCACACAAGACCTGCTGGAGACTCAAAGTCCAAATGGGCTCCAGAAGGGATTAGACAGGTTTATGGAGGCTACATCTACTGGTGAGGATTAAACATGGCAGTGCAAATGCAACTTCTGGCTGAGGAAGTCTTGACACTATTGCTTAAAAGACACTGAGAAAATCTACTGGGGAAGGGCTATACCCCGCTTGATCTTGTTTTTTTTTTTAAAAAAAAACAAAACAAAACAAAAACAAAACACTCCTTTCTTCCCCACCCATCTGCTTCCAGGCACTGTCAAAGGCAGGATTCAAGACTGCAGACCTTTGCTCTGCTGGAGCCACTGACACAGCGGTCACAGAAACCTTCACTCCATGTGAACTGCAGACAAAATTAGTGGTAAGAGCTGCTCTCTCAAGCTCTGCATACTTTAGCAAGCTGATCCTGAAGCCAGCACTGGAGTGGAAGTTCAGAGTGGAGGGACAGTAGTGGGCAAAGCAACAGAAAGATCAGAAACATGTGAGCATTATGTTTCCATCGACCCAAAGCTTGAGCAGCCAGCAGTTTGGCATCCGCAGTGTTTGTCATTATTCAGATCTGCCATTCAAGCAGGAGTTAGCTTCAGTGACTCAGAGGCAATTTCTTCTACAGCTAAGGTGGTGCGAGCTGTGTCGCGTCTCTTTGTTATTACTGAGCACGTCTGATGCCTTGCTCACCTGGCAATCATTCAGATTGCTGTAGTGCAACAGCTACCATGTCGAGCCTGGCTGAGCAAGCTGCTGGGAGGCACGCTCTAAGTGGGCTTGGACCCAGCGAGTGATCTGGCCTCCTTCCAGCGCTGACGGCAACTTCTCCTAGCGCAGTCAGAGCCTTGCTGATGTGCAAGCCCTGTGTTTCTCCCAAGACTTCAACAGCCTCAGCCACATCAGGAGCCTATTCAAAGCCTTCACAGCAGGATGTTTCCACTGCAGCAGGACACAACCTGTGGCAATACTGCCTTGATCTGTCTGGTTGGGACCCAACGCAACAGGTGCTGAAGATAATGAAATTGGCTCATCCCACTGGTATTCACAAGCACCGAACCAGGCCTGGGTCTCTAACCCAGGGAGGTCATTAACCATTACCCAGTAAGCAGTCATGAGCTATGAAGCTTTGCTGCTCGAATAAGCTGCAAAATGAACCTCAGAAGCACTGACAGACTTTGTTCCTCTCCCATCCCTCACTCCACCGTTAGCGCTTTGGCAGGAGGCCCCTGGGCTGGATTTCGGCCACAGGAAGTACTCAGCATGATCAGGAAGCTACTCTCTGCAATTTGCTTCAGAGCAGGCTTTTAAGAACACAGGAAATGGAGGACCCAAATCTAGGAGAAAAGCAAGGAGGTCTGGTTCAGCACTGCTGATGTCACAGCCATAGAGCCAGAAAGCTGACAACAGCTGACCAGCTTCCACTGAGCACAGTCAAGCTCACCACGAACGCATGCACTTCAGCCACAGAACAGAACAACCTCAGCCAGTGTTACTCATTAAAATGCAAACACTTTCCGGTGCTCCCTGGCACAATAATACAAGCACACGTTCTTTGGCCATCTGCTGTTTTAAGGCCACAAAGCTTAACTCTTGTAAAAGGCATTTCCAAGACGCTTATCTTCCTGTCCTGCAGTGGGTGGAGAAACATTTGTCTCTTGCTTGCACCCTCTGCCAAGCCAGCACATAGCCTGGCTACTGCTGTAGGCCTGTGCAGCCAGTAACTGCAATATGCCAAGGCCTCCAGTCACACCACTCACAAGTTGTAGAACAACTTGTTGATTCACAGCGCTGCGTCCTGAAGGCAAACACATCTATACCGTGACTTACACCACAGAGGTAACATATTGATGCTAGAGCAGGAAGGGGAATACTTTCTCCAAGGAACAGTGGCTTGCCCAAATAGACCATCTGGTTTCAGTTTCATAACCTCATCCCCACAGTTTCTCAGCCATCTCTGGCAGTCTGGAGTGAACGCCTAACATTTCAGGGTCCTTGATAGCTCACGCTGGTTCCCTCAGATGTCAGATGGCCACGTGCTTGGTCTCTTCAAAAATCTGTCAATAGTGAAAGCCCTGTCCTGACAGAATGGCTTTGTATAGTTTTCCTTCTGCTACACCAAGATCTGAAGCACAAAGGAACACCATAATCCACCTTCCTGAAGCTTTCAGGACAGAATGCAAAAGGCTTGCACATGAGCAGCACAGTCCCTCCTGCCCTGGGGCTGGGAAAGTAGGCCAGCACCCATCTGCAGGGCACAGGGCGGGTCTAGTGAACAATCCAGGTGGCTTGCAGTCTCTCTGGCCCTTTTCTCCCTTGCTGCACCCCAAGGAAACTGTGAAGGTCTTGGGGACATGACTGACACACAGACATTAATGATGGTTACTCACCGGCTCTGTCAAGCTGCTGTCTTTCTCCAAGAACTGCACAACACAGTAGGCTAACTGTAGGAAAAAGCATGGCAAGGTTAGAGTTTCCTCAAGTGTACTGGACCACCACCACCACCCCCCTTGCCTGGAAGCCATGTTAGGCCCTCTGCTATGTGCGTGATGAGCAGACAGCTGCAGCTCCAAAGAAATCCAGTTCTTCTGATAACAAGTGAAGGTTCACTAAGACTAAGCCAACAAGAACCAAGCTTAGGACACGTGCACAGCGTGAAGAAGTAAAACTTGAACCACCTAGAGCAGTCTGCAGCTAACACATTCAAATGCAACCACAGCTGCATGCATGGCTGGAGGTGGGGGCGGGGGAGGGAGGAAAAAAGACCATCACAAAGCCCAGCCCCATACATAAAAACAAGGTCAGGACAGCAGACATCACTGATCAGTACCCATGCTTTTTTACTTCCTGAGCTGAGTCCTGATGCTCTCCTCTATTATGACTACTAAAGGGCAAGAAATTAATCCCTGTATCAGGCTAAATGCCCAGCACATGATTTCTCTGCCTATCTCAACAACTGCTAACTGCTGACACTTACACCACCCATGCAGGCTGATGACTGGAGCTCAGAATTTTCTCTCTGGTTTCAGTAGAGCCCAAACATAAGTTTCCAGCACCAAAAGGCAAAGCAGGCCAGAAAGTTAGGCCAGCAGGACGTGGCAGGATACCCTCCTATCAGCCAGTGGCTTAAACACATGCACAGAGGCCCAGGCACCGTGAGACAGGGACAAATCACCACATTAAGAGACTAGTGCAGAGTCCAAAACATCTCACAGCAAGATCTTTGTATAATACAGCCTAGTGAATAGCTACAAGCAAGCCCAAACACCTGCTTTTGCAAGGATCACATTCTGCCCTGGAAGTCTGAAGCACTTCTCACCTGTGGGTGGTAGACACTTAGAGACTTCACCTTGTGCAGAGGTAACAAGACCCTGATAAGGAACATCTTGTGCTCTTCCTTCAGAGGCAAAGCAAACCCATTGATTATGCTGAGAAGAAACAAGAGTCTCATCAATGTCTTTACCAGGCAGAAATACAAGAGCTCTTACCCCAAAGAATCAGTGGCTTGCCCTGGCTCTCATTCACACCTCCAGAAAACACCCAGCACTAGGAGTGCAGTCGCTGGGGCTCAACCCTGCACACTATGCTCAGAGAGAGCACGTTTCCTCAGTAAGCATAGCAAGGAAACGTTTCTGATTGGGCCTGGGCTCCGGTGTATCCTGTGCCAGGCTGAGCATAGGACTCCTCACACCAGATCAGGTAACTAAACAGAGCCTCTGGGAAGGCCAGCACAGAGGCAGCCCAGTCCCAGAGGTTTGTGCTTTACAAAACAGGAAGACAGCAGCCTAAGAGGGTCTGCAGTTGAAGGCAGGGAGAACTGCTTCAGTGCTGTGAACCCACTGGAGAAGCTGTGGGTCTTCTCCCTTACTGCCGGCTGAGGTAAGAGAGCAAGCAGGGCTAGCTCAGACCTGAAAGAACAGCAGACAAATCCAGGCTGGGGGAGAACGCTACCACTGCATTTATGGGCAGGCCAGAGTGCTTTTCCCATGTGTGCTTGGTCCAACTGAGATCCCCCGGAACAGGTGGCTCCTGAAGAAACAGCTGAGGGAATGCACTGCCAACTCACACAGCACGCTGGGCTAGGAGGTCTTACACACTATGAGGCCTTCAGGACTTCTAAAAGAGCCCGTACCTTCCCAGGATCTCCAGCAGCTCTGCAATCCCATTGTGGTGCTCTGTTTCATAGATAAACCTAAAATAAAGGGACAAACATGAGAGGTCATTGCCAAAATGCTGAATCCAGTTTGATAAGCAAAAGAAAGGAAAGCCAACAAAGATGGGAAACTTCCTAATAAGTAAAAGAGCTCCAGAAAGAGAGGGCAAGGTGTAAGAGATTGAAGCAGATATCCCACTCATGGCTTCCAGATCAGCATCACCACAAAAAAGCTAATGCTGATAGGTCCTAACATTTGCTACGTGCACTGGAGACAGTCAGCACTGTCAAATCCTCACTGCTCTTAAGCACGGGTGAATGCTCCGTACTAAAGTACTGTGACATGACTGAGTCACCTGGCTAATCACAGTCAAGATCAGAGATGGAATCACAGCCTTGTGCCCCAAATCTGTCTCACTGGAACGTCCCACCCACTCATTGGGCCAGCAACATTAGGAAACATCTCACCTGTAAAATATATTGTTGATCTGCCGTCTCACATATGCTCGCAGACCCAGGAACTTGCCATAAATCCTGTGCAAAATGGTCTTTAGGAAGTCTCGCTCTCTGGGGTCTTCACTGTCGAAGAGATCCAGCAGCTATGGGAGAGGAATTTGGTCAGTGCTTGCTTACTGCCCTCCTGGATAAAGCTACGAGCAACGCTGGGCAGTGTTCCTGCTCAGCAAAAGGTGGCTTGTCCAGTTGACACCTCCGGCACCCCGAGCACAAGGATCGCTTCCCTGAAAGATGCAGGCTGGTAGTCACAAACTGGTACTATCAGCATCCGTTCAATCTCCTGAAGCACAGTGGTGACCTGGACACCTTCCAAAGCTGGGTGTCCCTGTACTTCCCCTGCTAGGCCCTCAACACCCTTCTCCACCTGTACAGCGAGCGCTGAGTTTCATGGACTACAACTCGCACACACTCTTGCCTGACACAGAAAATTCTGGCTGTTCTTTTGAGCAAGCATACAGGAGGGAGATAAAGAGAGAGAGAAGAAAATAAACAAAACCCATCATCTAGCACTTGCCAACAAAGTCAGACTGCCTACATAATGCCTTGCTCGATGTCTGCTGCATGCCCTTCATAAAGATGGTGCACAGTGGCAGGGACCAGGATTACTTACAGATAGTACAAACTTCTGGTCAATGTATTTCTTGGCTACATTTGGTTGGAAGTCAGGCGATTCCAAGAAGCGGAGGAAGAACTCGTACACCAGCTGCGGGGGAAGAAGGAGAAATCATTTAAAAAGAAATAACAATCCCACAGTCTTTACTTTATATTTTAGAAGTTTTCCCTCTCCTTATGGGTTCAGGGAAAGGCTGGGAACCCTGAATGGTGGCACAGAAAACATGGGAATCTGTGCTACCACCTGTTGGGATCAACTCAGCTGCCCCTGCTCTAATGCGCAGGGGCACCACTGGCAGGCAACTGCCCAAGCCTGCATAATATCTTATAACCTCAGGTCCTACCAAAGACAACAGACACCTACTCAGATGAAGACACCAGCCCTGAGAAATTCTTCCCTCACACTCAGCCCATGTCTCTACAAAGAGCAGAAACCTCCAGAAGAGAGGGCAAAGGGTCAGGCAGAGGCTTTGAGATGCCATGGGAAATCCCATGGGAGAGGGCCCTAGAAAGAAGAGTAGTCCAAGAGAGCTGGTTAATATTCAAGGATCACTTCCTCCAAGCTCAAGAACGATGCGTCCCTACGCGCGAGATGTCAAGCAAAGGGGGCAGGACGTCTGCATGGATGAACAAGGAACTCCTGGCAAAACCCACACAGAAGCAGGGACGGGCCACTTGGGTTGGGAGGAATATAGGAACGCTCTCAGAGCATGCAGGGATGCAACAAGGAAGGACAAAACCCATCTGGAATTAAATCTGGCAAGGGATGTCAAGGACAACAAGAAGGGCTTCTTCAAATACAGCAGTGACAAAAGGAACACCAGGGAAAACGTGGGCCCACTCCCGAATGGGGCAGGGGCCCTGGTGACAAGCGATACAGAGAAGGCCGAGTTGCTGAATGCCTCCTTTGCTTCAGTCTCTACTGCTAAGGCCAACCCCCAGGAATCCCTGACCCTGGAGACCAGGGAGACAGCCTGGAGAAAGGAAGACTCGCCCTTGGCCGAGGACGACCGGGTCAGAGATCGTTTGTCCAAACTTGACACCCACGAGTCCACGGGCCCTGACGGGATGCACCCACGAGTGCCGAGGGAGCTGGCACGCGTCCTGGCTAGGCCACTCTCCACCGTCTTGGAAAGGACACGGAGAACAGGAGAGGTGCCTGAGGACCGGAAGAAAGCCAACGCCACTGCAGTCTTCCACAAAGGGCAAGAAGGACGACCCAGGGAACTACAGGCCTGTCAGCCTCACCTCCAGCCCTGCAAAGGGGATGGAGCAGCTCATCCTGGATGACATCTCGGAGCACGTGGACGACAAGAAGGTGATCAGGAGTAGCCAGCATGGATTCGCCAAGGGGAAATTATGCTTAACCGACCTGAGAGCCTTCTAGGATGGGACCACTGGCTGGGTAGGTGAGGGGAGAGCAGTGGATGTTGTCTCCCTGGACTTCAGCAAGGCTTTTCACACCGTCTCCCATACCATCCTCACTGGCAAGCTGAGGAAGTACAGGCCAGATGAGCAGAGAGTGAGGTGGACTGAAAGCTGGCTGAACGACAGAGCTCACAGAGCTCTCTGATCAGTGGCGCAAAGTCAAGCTGGAGGCCTGTAGCTAGCAGAGTCCTCCAGGGGTCAGTACTGGCTCCAGTCCTGCTCAACTTATTCATCCACAAACACTTCACACTCATGTTTGGGTTGGGGAAAGCTGAAGGACCAACTTGAGTGTGATGTGCTGAAGCCCAAGCTGAGCTTGCCAAGTGCAGGGAGCCCCAAAAAGGTTTTGGAGTGTGTCCTGCAACTGAGATCTGCTCCTGGCCCTCTGCTGCTGCCTGGATGTTTGTTCAGTTCACTTGCATGATCCTTTTTTCTGCTTGGGTGATAGTGGTACCCCTGCAAGATCTCCTGTAAGATGTGTGCAGAGTTATCCTCCTGGTCTTTGTGTTCCCTGTGCCCTGGGAAATCTCTCCTTGCCCAGGAGGACACTGTTAGGAGGACTGGCAGGTCCAAAACAGTGGCTGCGCAGCCAGGCTGGCTGCCCACCTCCTCTCTGCGAGTAGCGCTGTCCCTTCCTCATGCTCCGGCTGTGGCATCGCACACCTAGTTCTTTCACTCTGCCAGTGCTAGCAAGCGTCAAAAGGACTCTGGAGAGAGTCCAGCGGAGGGCTACAAAGATGAGGAGGGGACTGGAACATCTCTCCTATGAGGAAAGACTGCGAGGGGTGGGACTCTTCAGCCTGGAGAAGAGAAGACTGAGGAGGAATCTGATCAATGCGTACAAGTATCTGAAGGGAGGGTGTCAAGAGGATGGGGCCAGACTCTTCTCCATGGTCCCCACTGACAGGACAAGAGGCAAATGGCACAAACTGAAACACAGGAGGTTCCATCTGAACATGAGGACAAACTTCTTGACTGCGAGGGTGACTGAGCCCTGGAGCAGGTTGCCCAGAGAGCTTGTGGAGTCTCCTTCGCTGGAGAGAGTCAAAACCTGCCTGGACACGATCCTGGGCAATGTGCTCTAGATGACTGCTGGAGCAGGGGGATTGGACTAGATGATCTCCAGAGGTGCCTTCCAACCTCAACCATTCTGTCATTCTGTGAAAATATGTCAGGTCCTCTGACTCCAGGGGACTGCCGCAAGATTGGCTTGGCCCCACTAAGCCACACGCATTGCATGCTGTGCCCCGGTTGGCTACAAAAGGCCAGCTTACTTTGAGAAGGCAGCAAGTGTTGAAACAGCGATTTCTGGTTTTAGTGTTAGCCCTGGGGCAGACTAGCCCTTGTAGGTGGACCTTGCCTAGTACTGCTGAAAGCCACAGGCCAGACCCCCAAGGTCTTTGGTGCTGAAGGAGCTATGGGGTCACTCATCCACAGCCTGTGCCTAGCTGCCAAGGACAGAAACACAGAGACGCTGAGGTGATGACCAAATGTCAGCAGCGGACTTCCTGCCATGAATCTATGATGGCAGCTGTTGAGTTAACTCGGCAAGAAATAAATTCTTCCCAGCATTCACCACTCCCTGGTACTGAGGATGTGCCATTCCCACCACCACTCACACCCCTACATCAACTGCAGCAGTGGTTAGTCACTTTGCACTACTGCAATACTGTGCCCTAGTTCCTTTCTGTATTTTTTGCTTCACTTCACAACAATTGGCTCCTGTTCTGCCTTTGTCTGCTTGACATGTTCTCTCTGCAGATGCTTGGTGAGACCCTCATAAGCTTACTTCCTGATTTTCACTTCTGAGCTCTGCTAAGCCACGTTTATCGTTGCCTTCACATCTCTTTTCAGCTGGTTTGTCATAAAGTCTTTTTGACAGGGCATGTAGCCTAGCTAAAAGATCCTTGGCCCCCTTACCCTCTCCCTCCCTTTCCCTGACTTTTTCAGCTCTTATTGTTGCCAGTTAACGCAACTGAATTACATCCAGTGCAAATGAGACACAACAGCAGGTGAACCTGCCAGCACAGGCTTTGCTTCAGCACCAAGCAGTCCTCTTCCCTCCACATGCCTCTCAGGGAGCAGGGAAAGGAGAAAAGTGCCTGAAGCAGACAAGGGTGCTGGTCTCTAATGCTGCTCAGCCCAGAGGCTCCTGGGCCTTCAGGAGGGGAAAGAACACTGCATTTGACACAACTCCCTCTACACCTCGTAAGGCGTTCGCTTTCAGCCTACCTCAGCGCCGTGTGAGACTGTGGCCATCTACAGGTTAATGTTGCACAGAGCCTACAGCCTGCTTCCAAGATGGTCCTGCTGCCCCTGTTGCCTACAGACTACCTCGGACCTATGGGTAGTAGGCCCCATCACAGGATGCAGCAAGCCTCAGTTGCTGGGGGAGGCAGCCAGGTGGCAGCAGGGGAGGCCAGCAGGCTCCAGGACTACACAGGCTCTCCTTTTCCTGGAGATAAATATGCCAGATCTGTATCCCCCCGCCTCCTCACCTGAAGGTGTGGCCAGGCAGCCTCTAACGTAGGCTCATCTTCCTCAGGGTCAAACTCCGCGCCTGTGGGATTGGACGATGGCGGGAGCGTTCGGAAGAGGTTCACTGAAAACTTGAGTAGAACAAGTGCATCAATGACACACTTACAGCTTGTGATGGCCCTCCCAGCAGCAAAGGCCTCCGGAATCTCTCACTGCAGAGCAGCACATCATGACTTGGCAGAGCCAAGCCCACAAACCGCTCCCTCTCTTGAAGCCACAGGGTTACAGTTTCCACATAAACTCTGTTAAGTGCAATCTCTATGCCAGGAACAAAAACCTCCAGCTCTCTCTACACCAGACGCTCCCAGACAAAGCACACGCGCACGACCCTCTCACCCTCTTCTCCTTCAGGGAGACAGATAACAAGGGATGGGTACTACTGGGGTCACGCTCCTTCCTAAAAAATCCCTGCCCCTCCCCACACACGTTCCTCTGAACAATCCCCATTTCTGTGGCACACAGCCAAGTACCAGCTTCACACCCTACCATGACGACAGCTTCTGGATAGATGGCTTCAGTGACGACATCACGGTTGTGCGTGATGTACTCCACCATCTCATTCAGACCGGCTCGCTTCACCTCCTTGAACTTCAGGTCACTGAGGGGGTCGGAGATGAAGTCAAAAAGCACACAGCATTGCCGCAGCTTCTGGATGAAAAGCTCTTCTCGTTCATGTGGAGGAGCATCTGGTAGAGAAAGCAGGGACATCTGTCCTTGGCGACAGGCAGAACATCTATCTGGTTCACTCAGGTTTGCATGGCCCTCCCCGCTCCCCGTCGCGCCTTCCCTCCCTAGTCACAGCCCTCCTTCAGCTGCTGCTGGAAAAGTGGGGGACAGCAATTCTCTGCTACGGAGATGTGGGAAGCAGTGGGATTTCAGGGCTTCTGGAGCAAAAACTCCATGAGGTCATTTCAGACATGACAGGGGGTTGTGATCTGATAAGCATTAACCCGTTTCCAGTATAAACTACCTGGAATAAGTCCTCGCTTAACTGGCTCCCAACACAGACCAGTGACATCCACGCCCTGCGCCCCTAGTCACAGGAGACAGGCAGAGCACATTGTAGGCTAACCCTCCTGTGAGGGGGCAACCCAGAGGAGAGGCCCGATATTAACAGTATTCTACTTTTGGTATGTTGCTGCTGGAAGCTATGTACTGTTAAGGCCAACCAAGCAAACGTACCTCTGATCTGCAGAACAACTGCTGAGTTGCGAGGCAGCTGTCTTTCCAAAGACAACTGCCTGTTGCTGTGAACAGTGTCAGCAACGGGTCTGGCTGAGTGACTGCTGAAAACACTTTCTCCTTGTCTGCACTTAAGCCATGTTTAATTGCATCATTATTGAGACTAACTGCTAACGCTGGACAATTGCCCTAATGTGGGCAAGTTAATAGCGCAAACATAATTTGCGATGAAAACACAAGGAGGAGGAGGAGGCGGCGGCGGCGGCCTGGTCCTCTCCCAGGAACCAGTGGCTGTAGGAACAAAAAACAGCCTGCTTTAACTCCTGCACCGAGGTCTCTGCGCTTTGCCACCTTCCTGCACAGTCTGCTGAAGAGTCTGAAGTAACTCCAAATAAATGTAAACAGCAGGGTTTCAATCAGCTCAAATGGCAAGATGAGTAATGCAGTTCATACCGAGTGCCCTCCTTTTCTTTTAAGCTACCCCTCAACCTTTTGATTTTCAGTATGCTGCCATGTCTGTGACAGACACCTTTCCCAGAGCTGTCCCTGTGGCACTGCCAGCAGTAGGCCAGCATGACACTCTGAGGGTCACTGTGGAAGGAGCCCTTACACACACAGTGCCCGTCTAGAAAAGACGGAGCTCGTCGGGCACATCACCCACACGGCAGGGCCTCTTACCTTTAAGGGCTGGAAGCTTTTGCAATTCCCGGTTTTTGCTCAGATTGAAGCGAGAGGAGCTGTGTCGGCGCTCCTTCTTCACAATCTGGGGTCCCCCCGAGTACTTAATCTTATTCAACTGGGTCGGTGGGGGGGCGCTGTTACTGGGGCGCTTATTCGAAGTTGTCTGTTGCTGCTGCTGCTGCTGCTGCGGTGGCTGCTGTGGCTGCTGGGCCTGATGAGGGAGAAGAGAGTAAAACAACTTGTAAGCTTTTACCTACAAGCCTCACAAGCTATTAGATAGTGTCAGTATCTTCTTGGACTGAAGAAACTGGGCAAGTTTTTCACTGTTGCACTGGCATTTCAGTGCATCTTACATACTTCTGCAGGGCTCTAGTTCGGTTTGTTGCATTTGCAGCATATTTGCAAAGCAAACGTCAGTTTTATGTATATCCCATAGCTCCACTAGATACCACGAAGGCCTCAGAGCCCCATAGCACACTGGATGCTAGAGATATGGAAAACAAAGCCACATCTTGCAACAGGTTATAGCAGTTTTCTTATTTCTACTTGTTTGTCTCAGCACTTTCTGTGGTCCAGAGATCTCAGTCTGATGCTCCCTCTGGTTACAGTACTTTGTACAACACGCAGCAAAGGGAAGTTTGGAAAACTAGCAAGCTGCTTCCTTATGCCCTGGTAGGGAGCCACCTGGGAGAAAGCAGAGCAGTAGGTAGAACAGATCAGACGTGATGGCCCGAAAGAGGCAATAGTGAAGACCACTAAAATCCTTGCTGCATCCACGGACTGGGAGCGGTCAGTCTACAACACACATGGACCGTTTTTGACCCACCTTGCTCTGCTCCTTCCTGCTCCTCACAGCTATACAACGCCAGTGCCTACCCAAACCTCAGGTCCCAGGCCCTGGGCTCTCCTGCCCCATCCCATCTGCCCCCCCGCCCCACTTTGTCCTGGCCTCACTGCTCTCTGAACTTTTCCTGTCCATTGGCTTTTTCCACATCACCCCTTTCAGCCATACGACCTCTTCACACGCATCACCTGTACTTTCCTCCAGCGCAGACATCCATGATCTTTGTAGGATGTACACCTTGCTGCCAACCGCTTCCCATATCACCAAGGTGTACATCAGCATATCTGGAAACTGAGGAGGAGATACCTTCTATCCATAAGGGATGCACTCTTATACTCAACCAATCCATAAGCCGTCGTCCACATTCACCCGCACAAAAGGCCTCAGCAATAAAAACAGGTAAGAGGTGCACAGTGCTCGGTTATTTTGAGCATGTTGCATAGCAAGGACAACAGCCATGCTGATGGAGGAAGCATGCTTATCCTCAATAGTCCCAGGGTCCCAATTCACTCATCACCGCCGGATGGACATGCTGGCTGTGGGACAACGAGCACACACTGCACGGCTGATGGGAACGCTGGCTCAGGCAGGCTGCTCAGAGACCAGCTGGAAGCACTGGTACACTCCCTCCGCTTCGTGCTTGTTACATAGCACTTAGAGGGGCACTTTGCTACTTTTTTAGCAGGTAACCAGAAAAATCAAGCCAGCATTTTCTCAGCTCAGCTCTGATCTGACCGAAGCCCTGCTGGTTCAGTCCCCACTCAGGCCCTAATGGCTCAATAGCTAACACCACACTGGCTCAACTTGTTTCACAGAGGAAAACGTAACGTGGAAAACTGAGAGCGCAACGTGCCATCGGCAAGCCTATAGCAGAGGGCTCAGCTGCAGAAAGCACTCAGCCTACTCCAGGTCTGTGGCATGAGCCCAGCAGCACTCCCATTCCCAGGCTCTCCCAGCTCCTTTGGGCTGGCACACACAGCCAAGGGGCTGCAGGATGAATCAGTCTAGGACATGACAGGGATAGCGCCACAGAAGGGGAGCAGAGGTGGACGAAATCCTTGGAGGTCACCACTCCTCCTCCAATAGATTTCCAGCTGCCACACACAGCACATAGGCACGAACGCACACCTCCCCAAACTATCGACCACAAGGATTTCTGGGGAAAACATCAGTGTAGAAGCTAATCAGAGCTCTCCTCGAAACGAGATACGGCCAGTCTCTTCCTGTGAGGAGCGGTTTAGCTGCAGCTTACCTGCAACAGGTACATTCTTCACCCTGAACCAAATCTCAACGGTTTCCAAAGAAGTGCAGCATGGCACCACAGTGCAACAGCAAGAGCTAAGGCATCCACAGCGTGTGAGGAGGGAGCAAGGGAGGAACGGGGAAGGTCATCTCCAGGGAACACTGCTCTGCAGATCCTAGCAAGTACGACGACTCCCTGTGAAGGGCAGGGCCCAACACGGGACACCAATGATTTTGTCAAAGCGTTACTTTGAAGCAGAAATCAGAAGTATTTTGGTTCTGGTCTGGCTTGCTGGAAGAAGTCCTAAATATAACAGCTCTGGTTCAAACTCAGGTCCAAGCCAAGCCTGGGGGAGACAGCAAGATTTAAACTCTTTCCAGTTTAGATTTGATCCAATTCCTTGCATGCAGCAGCACTGCTCAATGGTCGGAGGAGGGAGCAAGAAAACAGCTGTGCCTGCCAGCAAAAGAGGGCAGGCTACAAACAGGAAGCAATTAATCCTGAACACTGGTCTCTCCTCTGAAGACAGACCAACAGTTAAGTCAGGCGGAATCCTTGCTGGAAACCTTCCAGGAAGGAGCAGTTCATTCCTCACTCTTAATATTTGGGTATCAGAACAGCTTGAGCCACTCAGAGGTTGCCCAAACTTTTGGGAAGGCTAGTCCTGTATGCTAGATCACTTTCCTTCCACGTGGGAGGAGGGCAGAATCTGAACGTTGTTCCACTGTGGGGGAAAGACGGCACAGAGAGAAACAAAAGACACAGCAGCAGCCTCACCGGTGACACTGGAGGAAGCAGGACACATTCTCCCAAAAGACATCTGGGGCTGATGGGACATGTCTGTGCGTTCCCCATCTGCTCAGAAATGCCGCAGGGAAATGCTCCCAGCACAGTGTGCATACTGCATGCTAACAGGTTACAGCCACAGTCACTTCATTAGGAGTCTGGGAAAGTCATTCCCACTAGCTTCTACAGTCTTGAATAGATGGCATGAAGAAACACAAAACACAGCTTCAGGTTTAACTGCCAGTTATTTAAGAAACAGACATACACACGCACAAAGTCACACACACACACACACGTTTCCTAGAGAAAATCCCCGTGAGGAAATACAGATAAAATCCAGATTGTCCCTTTGCTTAGGAGAATGTCTGAATAGACAGCTTGGTTGGAGGACTGGGGAGGGTCAGATATACCGTTATGTTGCAGCGCTTGGAGGGTTTTAGGAAGGATTGTTTCTATAAGGGCTTTCTAGCAACAGGCTGAATGCTTGCTTTCATGAGGCACTTCCTACGGCAGGCTTGCTGTCTTTCTGCCTTCAACCCCTCCTGCCTCGGTCACAAGAATCAGGAGAGAAGAAGCTTGTTTCAAGTTTGAAAATATTTTCTTCTCAGAAGTTTCCAGCCTTGAAAACGCAGCAGACTGCTAAAGCTGAAAGCTCCTCTCTTAATGCACAGGTATAAACCTCGCAAACTGCTTCCCTGACATCAACACCAGCTGGCCACCGCATGGCTGCACACACACATCTCCTACCTGAGCAGGCTCAGCCCTCTTCCTGCCAGACAGGACTTGCGCCACCACAGCAAAGTCAGCTTCCTGGGAGATGCTGTTTTTCAGTACGGGCTGCACGCGCTGAGACGACTAGGCTGAAGGGAACGGCACAAAGCAGCACATCCAAGCACGGTGCAGCAGCCCCACCTCTCCTACTGCGGCAGAGCAGGACGCTCGTGCTGACAAGACAGGCCAGCCCCAATTGCAACCATGTTGGAGGTCCCCCACGCACAGGCTCTCTGGCTTCACAGCGCTTCCTCCCCTCCGGTTCCCACCACCCCTCCTCCTTGCTAGGGACTTGCCTGTGCAAGTCAATGAGCCCCAGGCCCTGGGCCTGCTCCACGCCATTTCTTTTCACCCTGGGCTCCATGGGACAAAGACCCTCTCCCCCAGCCACCCTGAGCTCTCATCATCAGCTTCTCCTCCGGCTCCTACCCACCCACGACCTCACCTCTGCAAGCACTCCTGCTGCAGCTGGATACCTCACCACCCAGAAAGCCCTTCTGCCTCGCTGGTCCCTTGAGCATCCCATGCTTGCCAAATTCCTCAGCCCAGATCTGCTCTCAGCTCCTCCTCCGATGACTGTTCCTTTCCCATCCCTCAAGTCAGTACCTGCTCTCTTTCTCTTTGCCTGTCGTTATACGGCTTCCCTATTAAAATAGGGCTCTCTGCCTCAGAAGTAACATCAACACACTGAAAAGCCTGTCTCTGACTAATGAACTCCAGGTACTGCAGTAACAAGCCCCGTGGAGATATCTGCAAAACATGTAATACAGCAGCTCAGTGAGAAGAATCACCCTCTCCCAGAGCTGTGAATCTCATCTGTAAGGCTCCAACCTGCCCTTGAGGCTGCAGAGCAACTCCTCTCTCCTCTTTACTGCTGCTAATTCCTGCTCCTACTTCCAGGTCATTAACTCTTCCCCACCTAGCTGCCTCTCCCAGTCTTTCTGGCTAGGAGGAGTAACTCTCTCATCCTCTCATCTAATGCTGACCTGTTCTTTGACATTATTTCTTTTTTCTCCTTAAATAGCCACACAGAAATTCTCTCCGCTCGTATTTTTATCATGTCGGGGGAAGGGGCAGGAAGAAGAGGAAGGGAGAGAACAAAAGACAAACCCTCTTTCCCACTCCCCGCTCTTATGTTCCCTCCACTGGTCCCGTCTCTTCCTAGGCAAACCATGCCCCTCCATCTTCGTCTCCGATAGCTTCACCCTAAGCTGGGCAGCCACAAGAACAAGTAGAAATGAAGACAGTGCAGGAACCCACCTTTCACTTCCCCCATCACTGCACTGCACTGGTAATCACCTGCGAATTCAAACACCTCCATTCCCTCGTGCGGATCTGAGACTCCTTTTGAACATATGCACCCTTCCAGATCAGCCGCACCAAGAGCTGCTTTGCTGTGAAGGATGAAGCACTGACGCTTAAGGGTTTCTGGGCTGACTCCCATCCTCCTCATCACCCCACCGAAGATCCCCACAGGAGGTCTTAGACCACTGCACTTGCTCAGGTCTGTCAAACCAGAGTTGCTCTTTGCAGAGCTTTACTCATTCCACCCATCAGACAGTCTGATTGCAAAACAACTCACAGCTTTCTGGTACCAGGATAAATTAGGGCTGAGAGTCTTCCCCTGCTCCTCGGACACGACATGAGGGAGGGGAGCACGTACTGGAAGAGGACTGCCTAGATGCTCTTCTCCTGCGCAAACGCGTCAAGCCCTTAATGAGAACTGAAGAAAGAAGGAAATTCTCTTTGGCACACGTAACTTTGATCCTAGGAAAGGCAACCAAACCACCGTAACTCTGTAGAGGAATTTACAGGGCACAAAACCCCCACAAGGGAACTTATAGGGCACAAAACCCCCACAAACTCCCTCCAGCTTCTGACACAAGGCAGGAGTCTCACTCCCAGCACACACATCTAAATCCTCATGGTCCCCCAAAGTGAAAGTCAGAATACCTTTCTGTGCTTCCTGAAGAGCAGGAAAATTGCATTCAAACTGGTATACATTTCTTCTTATCAAGCAAAGAGTTCTCTTCCATTCTGCAGCAGAGCAGTCCAGAGACAGGAAAGCACTGAGAGAGAACAAACTTCACTGCAACCTCAGCAGGGAAAGGAAGAAGAGACCTGTGGCAGCAGCACGTTGCAGAGGTGTCTGCTCTCTGTTCTTATGATCAAAGGAGACCCAGCCTTCCATCTTAAAGAAGGGCTGGATTTAGTTTGGGGTATGAGGAAGTGGCTGGGTATGTTTTGTGGGAGGGAAGGTTAGACACATCACTTCTGAATTTCTTCTGCACCCAGGAACAATTACGGGCCGTTTCGGGTCACGGAAGGAAGCTTGCGACCTGCGCTATTCTTCCTTTCCTACTACACCATCGGTAACTAGGAAAGCAGTACCGCAGCCCCTGCTGATCTGGACAGGGACATCAGCCTGCTCTGCTTTGATGGCTGTCCGTCACCCTTGTGTTGCGAGACCCAGGCTTACCTTCTTCTTCCCAGAACTGTGAACTCAGCAGACAAAGAGTGCTAAATAAATAGGAGGTAAGCCCGACCCTGTGAGGCAAAGCAGGAGTTCCCTCACTTCCTCAGAGCCAGCGGACAGCCCTCCAGCAAGCAGTTCTCAGCTGTACACACAGAATAAAATGGGCAGAGGCCCAGACTAGGACAGGGTATAGTAACAGAATCTACAAAACTGCCCCTCGCTCCAAGGCAAACAAACTCAGCTTCTGACTCTTCTGGCTACACAGCAGGTTAGGCATGAGCACAGCTTAGAGCTTGAAATGGAGTGGCTAGTAGTAGGGATGTTATCTCAGACTCTGCAACATGCTTTCAAGGAGACCGTAGGACAACCTTACTTTGACTACAGCTGTCCCATTGAACTACAGATTTCTCCCTAGTCTTCATCAGCCTTACACATCTCCTGTCTCTGGTTCTCCCAATCAGAACATGTTCCAAGCACGTCTTGAGCACACAGGCTTCTACGGATGTAAAGTGGCACAGCTTGTTTGCCAAATTGCGGTATTTAAAAAAAAAAAAAAAAAAAAAGGTGCTTCCTTGGACATACATACGGCACTGTGCTGAAGCCAAGTCTCAGAATCCAAAACCACACCATTTAAATGCTAGATAAACTCAAAGACTACCAGAAAAGCTCTGGTTCACCCAAATTTCTACCAACTTTAGCAGAGCTAATCACAGTCTCACTTTCTGTTGAAGCAGCCCTGACGCAGGTAGCTTGGCAGCATCAAAACTGAGATCAGAAGGGTGTCTCTGTGCAGGTGGGAATGAAGACCCTCCCTTTTTGTGAGCAATGCTGTGCTCGGCAACAGGAAGGCTGTGATAACACAGGAGAACTGTTTCCTATCTAGTAGTTTACTCCTATTCTCTCAGATGCTGAACCAATTATTTCCTAGCCCCACTCCCCCAGAAAACGCCTCAAAAGAACAAGCTCCGTTTTCCTTGCTTCTCACCTCTTTCCTGCTCTGCCACAACAGAACAACAGTTTACCCTGCTTTGCTCTGACAGGAGCACGGAAGCTGCTCCAGTCCATCAGGCTTCTTCCTTCTCGATAAGGGCAGCTCTTCACTCTCTGCAGCCAACTTTACCACGCTCTGCCCAGCTCTATGAGCAGTGCTTGCCTTTTAGCATTGTGCCAAGTCTCTTTTTTGCAGGACTGTAGGGCACCCAAGTCATTCTGTCTCTTCCATTGCCATCATTCCCCTTGGACCAACTAACTTCATCTTAACTTTAACCTTTGCTACCATCTTGTCTGCGATTCCATAAAACCCTGGTGAGATAGCTCATCTGACAGATCAGCTTGAAGTAGGTGAAGCGAAGGAGGTTATTTTTCCTCAAAGATGAGTTGCACATGCATGCTGCTGCATCCAAAGTGAAATCCTTACCTCTTCTGAATTCTCTGCCCCACCATCCTTTCCGCTACTGCCACTGCCAGGCTTTGCAGTGCTTTTTGCAGACTTTGGAGACTCCTGGAACGATGAAAACGCGCTTAGAGAACGCTTCACCTTGCACAGCAATTTCCACCTCTCCGGGCATCGCTTCGCTTTGCTCCGTCACAGACCTCCCCCCACCGCCTCCGCAGTAAGTCGTGTTTTGTGCAGTAACTCCTCAAAAGGGCCCCCAGAGCCGCTTCCCTCCCTCGCCGCATCCGCCTTTGCCTCGCTGGGGGAACGAGCGGGAGCCGGG